TCTTGCACCTTGGGACTAAGTTCAAGAGGACCTAACATCCCTAACGAACTTTCAAAACATATTGACAAGATCGATTAAAATTGCAATGATTTTAGGCTACTCCTATAATCACTTCTTTACATAGGGGAATATTATCAACATTCTAGGGTCCTCCCTATCTAACCTAGTTCAAGGTTGAGATCATAATCCCTAGCTATGCTAAGATATATGAGTCCTATAAAATGGTCTAGAAATTGGATATTAAAGTAGTTGAGGAGAAAAGGCTTTGGGGAATTTCAATGAGTGGGCTATAAATCAAAACAAGAGTGATAACTTTCTTTGAAATATTTTGTAAGTGTGTAATTAAGGAAGATCATCTCAAGCTCACTTTGAATGCATAACTTGGACTATCATTAAAATGTTGACATTTTTATGCTAATAAGACTTTTTAGTAATCTTATTGGCCCTCCCCATATCAAAATTTGAAGGAAATAAATTCATGTTGTTAATCTCCAAACCCCCTTCACTATCACTAACATATATGAGGAGACTACTTATTGATGATGGGTGCAGCTACTCAACTCAGTATTGACCCACATGGAGGAAACTCAACCTTCCACTATCACGAGAAAGTTTACCTCAAGGATAACCATCTATGAGAAAATACCAAAAGGTTAGTTCATGTTAAATCTCTATACCACTTTATAAAACTCAATAATATAAATACTAACCTATTCATCTTTTGCAAACTTGACAAGTTAGTCCTCCTTTATTTATACCCCTATAAGGTGTTGATAAACTAGAGTTATTGCCTCAAATAAGAAACCCTAGCCAACGTGATCCTCATAAGTAATAATATCTTTGCTCAATTCATAGGATTCGAACATCATTGCCTTAAGCAAAGCTGGATTCATGAGCCTCTTTATATACACTAGCTTCTCTATGGCCTTCACTCTCCTTTTCTTTCTCATCATGAGGATGAATATGACACTCATTAAAGGAAGCTTGATACCTAAAGGTTGGTTGCTTCTTATACATTTAAAATCATAATTTCCTATAGACAAAGCTTAAAGGAGAAGGCAAAAAATAAAAACCCAATAGTAAAGTGCATTTCTCTATATTTATTGACGATTACTCTACTGACATGCACAAAAATTTCAATTAACCCAAGCTTGATATGAGTAATGTAGCCATCCATTGGACATAATGATATTAAAAAATATTTTATTTTATTAAAATACTTGAAAAAAATTAAGAGATAAAAGAAACTAATTGTAAACCTAAAATTTTTCAAGTCAACTTTAAGTCAACCAAGCCAACCAGAAGAAGCAAGCATCATGAAAAACTAAATTGAACATGTCAAACAATTAAGCAATCAACTAGAAGAAGTTGTCATAATTATGGTGAGCCCATGAATATAGCAATGTAAGGAACTCAAATATCTATTTAGTACTGAAGGACAACTGGAGAAATCCATCCAAATAACATAGCATGACTAATAGCTAATACTCAACCAAGGAAAATAAAGTTAACTAACATTGCATGTACCAATTACTATTTGAAAAAATCCAAAAGGTGTATCAAAGATTTTTAAGAGCTACAACTAGCACATTTTATTTTATGTAAAGGCTTCATTATGTAAAGTCTTCATTAGGTTATATTTAGTAATCCATTCATGTTTCTTAAATGCAATACTTTATGTAGGGCTATACCTTTAACATCTACAAATTGGGAGTTAGAAGATGAGTTTAGGACACAACATTTTAATGTCTTAACTTCTTTACTTTCTAGAAATAAGAAATTACGGAGCCTCCTCTCCTAACTCTTTATATTACTCATATTTTCATAGTTAGTATTATTAGTAAGGTCAAGATGTTGCTCAAGGATAAAATGGCATTCTAACTTATATCATAATATATTTATGTATGAATAAGAGAATATATGTTCAAAATTTGAAGATAAATACATGAAATAAGATGCATAGAAACAAAAATAGAAATAAATAAATATAGAAAAATACTTCAAACTTATAATTTCATTCTAATTTGTTCATGTTTAAATATTCTGTATTTTGAGCAAGTATGTTAAAACCGTACAAAAATATATGAACACAATTTTTTTTGGGTTCTGCATACAATCACTAAATTCATATGTATTTACATATTTATACGTTAAGTTATCATATTTATTAATACAATACTATAATCCCTAAATCACATAAAAAGTCACTAGAATTTACTCATCTTTTAAGTTAAATAAATCTTTTCATTTATATATTTTGATGTGATCTAGATATTAGGGCATTATATAAATAAATATAAAACTTTAAATATAACATATGTAAATATATAGAACTTCAGTGGCATGAATGTAAATTTCAAATTTTTTAATTTAACGTTGACCAATAACCAGTAACCAAATTTCTCCCGCTTGCCAGATTTTCTATCACATGCCTCTTATCTTGGAAGCCTTCTCACCCCTGGCTGTGATCTTTCCCGTAGCTGTTGATTTTCTCGCGTTCAACATCCTCTCCACCATGGAACTCCCAATCACCACCGCGCCGTTGTTGCCTCCTCTCTTCTCGTTTCGCTTCTCCTCTTCTATTTCCGGTCGTCGAGTCTTAGTCGCACTCGGTGATCGCCTTTCCTCCGCCGATGGCATCGCCGGAACACCAGGTCTCGATCTTGTCGCTGACGTCGATCGACCTGGCGCGACCGAGGTGATCAAGTTCGGTGGTGCCTCAGTGGGGAAATCAGGGTGGGTTGCTGGGAAACGAGAGCGCGCCAACGGGGAAACAGTTCGGTTATTGGGTTTGAATTCTGGGTTCTGCTTTGGAGGTGCGTCCTTAATGGTTTTCTTAACTTGTTTTTCCAATGATTTTGGAACAACTTTGTGTTTAATGGGCTTTGAATCCGGACTATCTGGCCGAGATGAGATGGCTGAGGTTACGGATCTGGAGCTGGGTGTAGGTTTGGTCACAACCGATTTGATCTGTAACACATTATGAATTTATGATAAAGGCTTAGTTCAAATTTCAAAATACCCGGCGTAAATTTGGACAGAACGAAGAAAAATTGAAGGAAATGCTTGTTTTAAAGGAGTGCATTCCTACTTGACGAGTTTGGAGTTTGGGATCTGGCTTCTGCTTGGTGGATCCTTCTTTGCTGAATCTGTTAATAGATCTTTCAACTGGTTTTGAATCTTCCTTCCCGCGAACCATGTTGTCTGCTTTACGGATTGAAGGCGCATTTTGATTCACAACCGCAGTTTCTGACCGTGAGGAAGTGGCAGTAGAGGCAACAGATAGTGAGCCAGGCGACTTGGATCTTAGGTTTAGGGTTTCGTCCTTTCTTCTCAAGAACTACAGTTATTAGATTAATTTATAAATCAACTGCAACTTTTGCTTAAAGATGTAAATAATTGAAAAGGATGCTGAACAAATCACCAAAAAAAGTGACAGGAATCAAATTCAAGTATTAAGATAGAACATATACTCTTCCAGTATGAAGTGGCTTGGCGGATGGTTCTTTATCGGATTCCTTGGCAAATCTTTGAGATCCAAATCTTGGTGTTGCGATCGGCGTTGTGATTGACCTAGGAGGTGATAGCTGATAAGTATACGGATCCGGAGAATCAGGCCGGGAAGATGAAGCTGATCGAAATGAGGCTACGGAAGGTGAACTTGGGGGCTTGGATACTGTTTTTGACTCCTTTTTTTCAGAGAACTGAGATAAATTTATATTAGTTCAAGAAGACAGATTTAGCGTCAAATGCTTGGAGATTTGTATTAAATGGCATTACTTAGAGCATCTCTAATGGAACGGCAAATAACTGTTTGCTCCGAGCGGCAATTTTTACGTCATTTTATCGCGGATGAACAGTATTGGTGTCGCACTGTTCATCTTTATCATTTCATCAATGCCCTTAAATTATTATTTTCTAATTCATTGAAATATAAAATTTGTAGGCTAAGAATACGAAATAAATAAGAAGAGATGGTCCAAGAACAATGATTCCCGTATTTGTGAGCTTGTAATACAGCCCACACAAATACGAGTACACAAAATACAGATATTAGACTATGGTGGACCTCTGGCCCTCCTCCCCGTTCTCTCTCAATTGCTGTTGAGATTATTCTGTGTAGTGTCCAGACGTGTTTGGAGGTCAAATCGGTGTGCGTGGTGAATCCGAATTGACCTCCAACACATCCAGACACAACATGTAATAATTTTTTCGGAATTTTTTGGAGTGTATTCTACCCAAATTTAATTAGAATAGATTTTAAAATTTGTAGATTTTTTAAAGATAAGTATAAAACTAAAATTGATTAGCAGTATTTTATAATATTTGTTAAGAAATATGGTTGCCTACCCTTGAGGGTTTAAGAGCTGGGATGATAGGAAGCTCCTTGTGGATGATCATGTTAGGGTTGTTTCCTTGCCCAACATCCATCTCAAGCGATTGGAACAAAGGAGTTGCAGGTGGAGTTTTGAGCCTGCACCCAAAAGATGAAATAAGTTACGAGGAAAAAAAAAACATCAGAAGAACAGCTGCGCAAGTTCTTTATTAACTTTAGCATAATTTTTTTATATATATAATTTGTATGAATGAAAATTCCCAAATTATAATAGAGAGATAAATATGGGTGAAATAAAATTTTCTCACCAATCATAATCATTCTTTTCATTTTCGTTCCCATGAGTATCACCTTTTTTCCCAGCAGAAATTTTGAAGACGACTGAATTTCCTGCATTCAAAAAATTCTCATTTTAAAAAAATTCTCATTTTGGAAAAACTTCTAATTCTATCACAATAGTGGGTCCCACTATTCCAATTAAGTTCAAATTTGAAAAGAGGCGGCAGCTCGGGCTTGGGAGGGAAATTTGATTAGAAAAGTTCATGTATTAAATAGCATGAGATGTTTAGGGTGAGGTATGCTTGATTTGATTTGGATTGTGGTTCCCGAGCTCTAGACTACCTTGTCTAGAGATTTGGGAGAGACGATCCTCCTCTCGAATTGATGATCACTTGTATCTTGTTTTCGTGATTGTTTTACTTTAATTTTCTTGTTGCAATCTATCATTTTGAGGCTGGTTTCACCCAGATTTTGCATTATTCTCTCTGTTTTCACCAATTTGTGATAAGTTTGCTTGCGAATTCAAGTATTACCCTTAGGATTAACTGCAAACTCAAGTATTTCCTATCAAATTTCTAGCACAACAAACGAAAGTCCCCACTTGCCTTTCATTCCTAAGAAATATTTAACATCAAGGATGGTGTCAATCTACAAGTCAAAAATCAAAACAAATCGAATCAAATACAACATACATGAAGGTTCATGCAAAGTATTTCACCTTCAACAGGCTCGAACTCGGTGGATACCGACTCGAGGAGATTCATGTTCTTCTCCCTCTCTCGCTTGAAGAGCTCGCGGAAAAGGGCGAGCTCTTCATCTCGCTCCTTCTTTGCGCTCGTCGGCGGGAAGAACCTCATGCGACCGGCACTCATTCTCGCCTCCTCGAACAGGAATGAAGTGCTTATGGAGAAGGGAAGTAAGATTGATATGAAGAAGAGAAAGAAATAGACCTGAAATGGAAGGAGGAGGAAATTTCAATGAGAGGCATACGCTTTTAAACTTGGCCGGCAAAGTCCACTCAGGCAAAACTTTGATCAACATGCTTTTGGCCTCGGGTAACAAATCATCCAGGCGTAAGCATTTGGAAGGTTTTTAAGAGCCGTGAGAGATCGCCGGCCGGGCGGAGACTCGGCTGCTTGACACCTGTACACATTTTTTCTGCAAGTTAAAGCTTAGTTGGGGATTAGTATAATTATACTGATTAAAATAGCAATAGTGAAGACTTGTTTAGTATTATCACAAATTAATATGTAATTATCTCTCAATAGCATGACTTGTTATTTCCCTTGTGTTCAAGAGAAAAAAGGAAATAAGCAGGCCGAATATCTTCAATGAATTATTATTAATATTTTGTTAGAGTAATATTATTTGTAAAGTTATTTTATATTTTGTGGCAACTTCTTTTTGTAAAGTTATTTTATATATATATTTTTTAATATTGGGTAGATGTCTGTTAAAGTCACTACTATTGCTCTTATTCCAAAGCATGCTAATGTCTCTCAAATTATGTTAAGTTGTGTAATATTTTTATAAAACTGTGACTATAATTTTGGCAAATATGATGCAGGGTGGGTGTTATGCCTCTTATTATTAACTCTAGTAAAAAAGATTTTATTAAAAAAAGGATTTCAAAGAATAATATTATTCTTGCATCTGAACTATTAAGAGAATTTAATAGTTCGGGTAGAGAAATATTTTTATTGTGCTAAATTGGATATTCATAAGACAATTGATACTGTCTTTAGAGATTTCTTTCTTAATAGAATGGTGCATAAAGGTTCCTCCTATTTTTATATCTTGGATTAAAGGATATATTGAAGATATATATATTTTTTTTCGATTGTTCTTAATAGTTTCTTTAGTTCTTCTTCTGATATTCGTTAATAGTGTCATCTATCTCCTTATCTATTTTACATTATAATGTATGCTTTATCTAATATTTTAGATGATAAGTATCAGAATTTTAAGGGGATTAATACATGTAAGAATTTTATTTCTCATTTATTATATTTGAATGATGTTCTTGTTTTTGGAAATGGTTTTATTCAAATGTTGAAATTTTGAAAGATATTTTGGATTAATTTTCTAGATCTATTGGGTTGTTTATCAATAATTCTAAGAGTTCTACTATTTTCTCTAATAATTTTTCTATTTCTAAAGATATTGGTCAAATTTTGGGAATTGATATTTCTCAAAATTCTTTGAAATATTTAGGATTGCCTATTTCTTGTAAAAGGCTATCATGAATGCTATTTTGGCTAAGATTTCACATTAGCTTTCTTTTCACAAGATGAAACATTTAGCTAATTAAGGGGTGACTAGGTTTGTTCTTTGGGGTTTTTCTAGTATGGTTTTTTTGGTTGCATAGTTATACCCACAAGCGGCAGGAAAACCAGCAATGTGTTGATGAGCTAGCGAGGAGAGCCTATGTAAGTATATAAGTTTAATATTTTTGATGTCATATCTAAATTGTTTCAATTTTTATTAACTTTTATATGAGGAGTATACACGGCTTCGAGAGAGCCAAGCTACAACAGTTGAAGCTTCTTCTAGTGGAGAATATTCTGACTACCGCACTTACTCGCAAACGGTAGGAGGAATGCAGCACGGTAGAATTTATGGTTTAGGCTTGTAAGCCTATGCATAGTAGGAGCATATATCTGGTGGCTCCAGCTTCTCAACAAGTACTCAAGAGTCCTTATATAGCCAATAGGTAGCTGCCCTTATAGTCGAGCTAGAGCAGGTCAGGAAAGCACAAGCTGACTGGCAGATGTAAATGCAGCAGCATATGTAGATTTAGTAGTAGATGCAGATGCAGCAAATTCAATTGTTATATGAAATGCAAAAAATGAGGGAACAATTCAGTGTAAAGAGTATAACTTCAGTAGAGGAGGAGACTGGTTTAGAGTAGATGTTATATATTTTATTTTGGACATTTGTATTTTATTTTTTTTGGACATATATATGTATTTATTTTATGAACATATGCGCTTGTTTATTATTGGATATTTGTTGATGATATTTTTTGTTTATATTTATATGTTTATGTTAAATAATTGGTGATAATTTTTTTTTAGAGGTGCATGTTTGATTGTATATAATATTGAAACTTTGTATGCATGTTGTTTTGTAGAAATCAGTTTCCTAAGTCGAGGCTTTTTTTTTTTTTGTTTATGTTATTGGTTTACGGCGGATAATCCACCGGAAACCCCATCAGCAATACGATATAATGAAAATTGAATGCTCTTTTCTGCGCCCTATTGTGCAGGAATTTCCAGCGAAAAAATCTTCGGTTTACCCGTCGATAGCAGTGCGATGGATTGGGGCGTCAAATTATCTGCCAATTCTTCTGGCGTACAAATGCTCCAAAAATATTGACAGATTAAATGCCAGAATTCGCTTAAGGAAGACGACATATTAGCAACCTCTTTTTTGCAGGAATTGTGTTGGAAACGTCGCCGGAAATATTTCTGGAGGAAAAGTATTGCCGGTTAATATTTTCTGATTCGTAAATTACCGTCGGAGAGTTTTCATCAAAAATTGGTTGGAAAACAGAATTTTTCGATGTATTTCTATTGTTATCAGTGATTTGGTTCGCTGGTAACAGAGTATTTTCCTGTAGTGTAGAGCCGTTAGTAAGTAATAAGGAGTGGGGAAGTTGAAGGAGAAGCTCTCATTTAAGGGCCATATGGTTTGATGAAAAATGAATGCAAAGTAATATAGAATATTTCGTAAGAGAAACGCAGTGTATTTGCAATGTTTGGAGTTTTTGTACGAGGCTAAAATAAATGAAGGTAATTAATCTCTTTTTTTTGTATGACTTGAAGTAAAATAAATATATTGTAAAGCCAATTGATGTGAGCAAACATATGTCCTTAGGGATAATTTGGTCAAAATATTATGTCACATATGTTTAAAGTATGCTTGATTAAGTAGAGCCAAATGGTTTGTCCAAGCAAATATATTAATTTGGATAATTTGGCTAAATTGGTTCAAATGGGCTAACTATAGGTTTCCAATAGGTCAACATGAGTCATAGGGCCAATTGGGCCAAGCCAATGGTCAATTGAGCACAATTAGGATGCCATGAACATAATCAAAGGAATGTGTCAAAACAATTTGATCAAATTAAGGAATTAAGCACAAATAGGCTAAGAAAGCTCCATTGAGTTTTCAATTTAGCTGAATTGACTTGAATAGGTTAACTTAGCTCAACCAAAAGTCAATTTAATTGATTTAATTGATACGAAACTTTATTCAAAATAATTGAGGTCGACTATGTCGTTATAGTAGCTATATTGCGCATGTGCATACCCTAAAACAACAATTAGAATACAATTATATTTCAATAGAACAAATTCTATTAAGTGTGATAAAACAAGTGATATCAACTTAGGCTTCGTTTGGGATGATTTTTTATTGCTTCTTAATGCAGCTTTTTAGTACAAAAATTAAAATTTATGTACTAACAAGATGCTTTAAGAAGCAGTCCCAAACGGAGCCTTAATAATGAATCCAATTCAATATTATTGGACTAAACATTTTGAAATTATGAACTATTTTATCATGGGAAGATTTAATTAATTAATTATTGGGAGTAAGTAATTAGACTTTGAATTTCATTATTTAATCATTATAATTTAACTAATTCAAAGAGGGAAGTCATTTTGCACCACAATCCCTGTAATTACACATCATAGATCTCTCATCAACAAAATGAGAAAATTTTAAGCCTGTGATATATGTGAGAATAATTTTAATGATAATAAATATATAAATAGTAGTGATATTAACATTTAAATTATTAATAATATAATGCAATACTTTATAAATATATTTTTTAGGGTTGTGATATTGATCATGTATGAGGCTAATTGATCCAGTTAGCATATTATATAAAAAAAGCCAAAAATAGATGACTTAAAAGCTTTAATGAAGAGCAAGTTACAGATTATAGTTAATGCGGCCTAATACTATATGACCAATATTAATTGTATGCATATATCCTAGTAAGAAAATTTAATCCTCATCTCTTGCGAATTTTATCAAAATTTATGCCAAGAGAGAGAGAACTTACAAATCTAAACTAAGGACAAATCTACCTAAAAATCCTAACAGACATTCTTCAACCTATGCTAAGAAAGCTTTTATTTATATTCAGTCTTCTTCTGCATATCCTTCGCCTAACCCCTATGAATGCCCCTCTTTCCATTTCCTTATAGAGCCCTGCATTGGGTAAATATATCCACATCCATCCACGTTCTCACCCATACCCAATGGGCATGGGTGGGTATGGGTATGCCCATAGCCTCGTGGGTGAGTATGGATGGGTACTCAATATCAGAGGACAAACCAATTTACATTACTAATTATTATATGCATGCAATATATTACAATAATCCTTACTACGTAGCGCAACATTGAACCGCGTCGCGACCACGATAAATTTTGAAATGTGGCTTGAAAGTTTGCAGTAAGAGAAAATGGCAAAAAACCTTAATGACATTAATCAATGGCAGACTGCATCCAAGAAGCGTGGAAAGTGGGTGGGTACGATATCCCGAAAGTCACCATAGGTGGGCGTGAGTGGGCAAAGTCTACTAGCGCAGAGCGTGGATGTAATACCCAAAAATGTCAAAAATAAATGTAAGTATAAATTTTATATAAATATTATGTTATTTTCGTCGTAAAATTCTACCTTTGACCCTGAACATTTTGACATATAGAAGTATATGTAAATTCTTACTTTAGTTGTCTCTTAATATAGTTAATTATTTACTGTTTATGATTGAATGAACAGTTAAATTAAACATTATGTACTGAGCCTTATTTAAAGTATCTGCTTAGCATAAACTTTATTTAATATTAATTGTACTGTAGCAATCCCACTTAAATCGGCATGCAGAGAGCCTGATGGGATCTAAAGGTCATGAATGGCTGGAATGGTTAGTGGATTTAGGAATGTAAATATAATATTCATAGTGGAGGATGAGGTGTTAAACAATAAGTATATGAAGTCTTTGCCTTAAGCTATCTTGAGACATTTTCCTTATCTCTGCCCGAGAGTTCCTGGCGCTGAAGGCTGGAAGGGAAACTGGTTTGGCGGATGCTATAGGTGGCTGCAGTAAAGGAATTCAGCAATCTTTGGTGGCTGCAGTAAAGGAATTCAGCAATCTTTGGTGGCTGCAGTATAGGAATTCAATAATCTTTAAGGCAAGTACATAATACTAAGGTTGTTATAGATTGTTAGTGTTGGAATTCAATAAATAAGTACTGAAAATAAGGCTTGCTACCTTTTAAATTTCAGAATTCACCATGCAAGAAACATTTGTTAGCAGAATAATAGGAAATTGAGGTAAAACTGAAGAACTTGATGTTTCAATGAAGTATACTAAGTGAGGGTATT